TGTAAAAATCCACAAAAAATTTCATTGTTGTATGAAAGACATGCCTTTGTGGTACCGTAATGATGTGAACCAGCGATATGTGCATTCCTCCATTGAAACAAGAAGAACCCAACGCCATCTAGGAATGAATGGAATTCTTGTGACTGTCACGACAATTGACTTGAGAAGAAAGTCCTGGTCACTGGCCCTGTACGGAGGCTAGTTACATGGCTGCTATAAAGTGGGCCACACCGTGGGAAGCATTCTCCAAGGAATCGAGTGACAGCACAAGACGGGTCGTCATGCAATAAGTTACGAAACTTGAGCATCGAGTGAATAACTCCCCGTTTAATCCAATAATCCAATAATCCAATGATGTAAAACTTTGAACTTTTTTTTTATTGAAATTTCTTTAAACTTGGTGTGATTATTAATAAACATCAGTGTTTGAAATAATGATTACTTTTTACAATTCATTTATTTGAAAATCAGTTACCATTACTTAATGTAAATTGAAATTTTCAATTTTTTTTTTCAATTCATTGAATTGAATATTCAATTACCATTTACATTCAAATTGGGAAATGAATTGAAATTCATTTCAATTGCGTGAAGTTTCGACTAGTCCCATGTTTCGATTTCCACATGTGCGGACATTCGACTATACATCCTGAATAAGCAATTTCATGTGTAATTTGAAATCCGTTTCGAAATATCATAATATGGTTCCTTTTCTTATGCATTTTATAAGTCTTACCCATGTCTATTTTGCCGGAAATATCAAATCTAATTTTAAAGGTAGAGTCAAAAATGGTGACCGAAAAAAAGAAAGACACAGTAAAAAGTATTTTTAAATTATCTCTTTATTTACTGGTAGTAATATGTGTTTGTGTGTGAATGTGAGTCTAACATTACAATGGATGCAAATTTCAATTATTTCTCATTTTCATTATATATAACTTTAATGTAATTCAATTAAATTGGTAATTTTTGTTTGTGGTTTAGCGTAAATCTCTGCAACTGTTTGTCTTAAAAATGTTTATCGCATTTTATGGTGTTTTACGGAAAATTAGCACGAATTCCTATTCTTTAATGCATTTGCTCATTTCTTTTTCCATTGGTATATAAATACGAAAAGGTGTTGTTTGTTGGCTTGAATATTAAATGTTAAGTTCATTTGTATGCTTCCTGTTTAGTTGTTGCTTTGTAGGATGGGAAATTTCGTTTGTATGGATGTGTGTTTAAGATTGAAAAATGCATTTTGTTTCTAATTCTCAAGTGTGTTGTTGCCCATCTAATTGATTCCTTTTCCATTAAAATAATTCAACTGGCTTTATTTACTCTATTTTTGCTATGGCATTGTTATTTCTTTAAAACAATTTTTAATTATTTCTATGCAACTGGTACTATAATTATTTCATTCTGTGCTCTCCTTGTCGCACCGTGTTGACAAAAACAATTTGTGTAATTTTTCCATCGGATTGTTCCATCGGAATACGTTTAAAATTAACCAATAATGCTGGCGAATATTGTATTTATGTTTCATTCATTTTTTTATTTCTTTGATTGTTAAATATATAGAGATTTTTTTATCCGTTTCAATTTTGTTTATTGATAGCTGATCTAACGCGATGAATTTTGCCTTATCTAATCGTGTGAGTGTGTGTATAATGTTTTTGGGTTTTGATTCATAGAGTTTAGAAGAGTTTTAAGAATATAACAAACTATAGTGTTTTTACTAGTTTTTCTATAATCAAATTTGTATTTTAGTCATCAATTAGATTCAGAAGTGTAGATACCGTGGGGGTCATGTTCAGTTTTTGCTCTTCATACTTTTAAATGCATTCATCTAAGCTTACTCATCCATAATTTGCCTGAGATTTCATATTGTTACTAATTGGTTATTTATCTGAAGCACTTTTTCACATCAACGGGGTAGAGAGAGAAAGATTATAGACGTTATTTTATTTAAAAAAAAAATCAGAAATTCGGACGCGCACACATTTCACGAGTGAATCTTCTAATTTTTTTTTATATGTATACTTCATTTGCATTTTATCTTAAACAAAGTGCACAATCCTTAGTAGACCCTACTAGAGTGATCGTGCATCTGTATTTACTTTGAAAAATTGCTTGAGATATTGGCAATGAAAGCGTCAGCATGTTGTTCGATTTTTTTTTTTGAAGAGACTGGTGTCTATCAATCAAATGTCACACTTAGTTCAATCGCATTATATTAACAAAATATGATTTCAACACCGGTGCAACTTGGTTTGTTATTCATTTGGACTCTATATTGCAGAGCACAAATTTCACTTGAAATTTTGAATGTACGGCAATGAATGGGATAAGCAATTGATTGCCGCAAATTTAAAATATTCTGATGTTAGAATCGACGACATTTGAAACGCTTTCACATATTTGTAACAAAGATATTTGGCAATGGGATAGAATATTATCTATCCTGGAATATTTTCCACATGCAATTCGTTCGTAAGCAAAGACCAAAATATGAACATGACCACACACACAAAGTATTCAATTAATTATTAATTCGAGAATTAATATAGCGAAAACAGTGAAAGATAAACAGAAGACTCGAGAGATAAACTAAAAAAAAATCAATAAACGTGTTGAGATTTTTCTTAATATTTCCATCTAAATGAAACAAATCGATTTCGCTATCTTACTGTTTTTTTTTCTCATTTAATAAGTTGTTTTTCTGTCTGGTATGCGATTCTCTTAGTTGTTAAATGTACGTTCATTTAGACTTTTTTTCTTGTTTAAATAACGCTTTAGATGATGACTTTTTATCATTAAATTTGTAATCATAACTATTTTTTTTACAATTGCGTGTGATTGTGAGTGTAAATTTAAAAAGAGAGATTTTTTTATTTACTTTAGTGATGTGATTGTTGCTATTGCTGAATTTTGCATTAAATACATTGTTTAGAATTACATATATATTTATAAAAAAAACGAGAAAAGATAAGCAAAAGCGTTTTTTATAGCAGCGAAACAAATAGTTATACATCTATTTTTTCAGTGTATTTCCCTTTTTTCACCATTCATCATTTAAATTCATATTTATTTGTTTTGTCAGTGTTAAAGAAGGTACGAGATATAATTAAAATAGAGTTAAATTTATATTTATATTTACTTCTTTTCTGCTTTGTCATTTCTTAGATTTTTTTCTTTACTTTTTTTTATCTACTTAAAAATAGTAATAAATCATATAACGATCTAAATAGTGAAGATTTTTTTTTACTTTGTATTTAATCGATTTTAATCATTTTTTTGTCATTGCTTTTTTCTTCCATTTTTTTTGTATTAAAATTGTTTTTTTTTTTGTTAGAGCAAAGCGTTATTTGAATTCAACTATTTCTTTAAGTGCTGAAAAAATCATTCTACAGTTCTGAGAATCAAGTGACACACAAAATTAAACGGAAATGTTTAAAGAAAAAAATGGACAGTTTTAATTGGCAATTCGATCGAGATAAACATATCATTGCTCAATCACAATGCATTAGATTGGCCATCTTGCAACGGACATCTCTCAGATAACGAAGGCACCAGGCATGCTTACTCGCTGAAATTTCCATGGCAAATCACATACCGATGCCAACTTAAACAACACAACTCTCACCCACAACACGTTTCAGTTCAGCTAATCAAAATCTGTGCGAAGAAGATATTACATTTCTCTATGTCCAACTAACACATGGTTAGATATTCGCTGATAGATATTCGTAAACAGAGCCGTGAATTTGGGTCTTATACGCCTATAATTGTGATTTCGAAAGTTTTCTAGCAGCTTATAACGTTTAGAAAGAAAAACAATCGAAAATCTTTTTGATTCGCTAGATTTCGTTCAATGCTCGAGCTGAAAATGTTCGAAAAAAAATAGACTTGGATCATATAGACTACAACGAGTGTAGCATGTGTTGAGATGAATTTAATTGAGACAAATGTCACAGTCTGACTGAGTTGTGATAGATGAAGCATTCGAATCAGAGGCTTAATTTTCGTGATTCTTATTTCCACTTTTTTTTTTTTTTTCTTTTTATTTCGGGTCGAAGGTATTCAGCTGGCGGTATTACGGTATTAGATTCAGAATTTTGACAAACAGAAAAAAACAAAAAAAAAATTCAACTCAATTGTCGGCTACACAAAGAATCTAACTATAAGCATATTCAAAATGACTAATGATGGTAAATCTTGCGAGGAAAATCATCATCACGTCGAATACACAAATAATACGTCTTAAAGTACACATTCAATTGCGTTGAATCCCAACTCTTAACCATTCTAAAGAAAAATCGATAATAATTTACGCTAAAAATATCTATATATTTTTTTATTTCTATGTTTTGTATCAATTAAATACTTTTATCTTTAATCTTTATCTATTTATATATTTATAAAGAGAGAGAAAGAGTTGATTAGTGATGATGATGATACTTGTGTATGATGGGCACATATCGAATGAATTCTTTGCTTTCAAAAAAAAGAGACAATAAAATTTCTTAGTTAGAGTGTTCGGCATTCGGTGTCAATGTATTTTGTTATTTTCTTTACTTTCTTGCATACTCGCCTTCTCCGTCGGAAGAAGATCCATTTTGTGAAATTTGTTTTTAAGTTAAATGTCTATTATCTAAAAATCATGTCAATAATATTTATATATTTTTTTTATTAAGTTGGTTTCATCTTTTTTTTTCGTAGTAAATAAATTCATTAAATATTAGTAATGGTTAAAGTTATGCATGTTTCAATTCAGAAAATCATTTTTTTTTCCTCCACATTCATTGGTTGGTTTTTCTTTTGTTTCAATTTCTTGTTTCCCATTCAAATAATTCAAAAAGATTTATTTTTAAGTTTTTATTCTTTGTTATTTGTTATTCGTTAATCTATTCAAAATAAACTAACACAACGAAAATCGAAAGGCAATGTGTTCATTTTAATATGATTTCATCATCATTTTTTTTAAAAGTTAGTTCCTCTTTAAAAAAAGAATCATCTTGTTTTTTTTTCATTTTAATAGTAAGTTAGTTAGTAATACAATAGTACAATTACTTAGGTTTCAAAAAATATTTAAAGTTTAGAGATTTTTGTTGTTGTTGACAAAACAAATATTGCTCGCTTTTGAAATGATGTTGATGTTATTTCAAAAACACTGGCACATTTGAATGTTATATACTTGAGATAGTGTGATAATAAATACAACATACGAAAATGAAATGTTGTATTAGCTGGTCATATTAATGCTCGCAAACTGGATATTTACAAAATATGCGAAACAACACGATTTTACAGTTTATTGGAATGTAAACCGTGAAATGAACAGTCAACACAAAACATTCTCAAAGCAATAATGTCCGCAAACGAAAGAAAAATGTTTGATTTGACTATGATATCCGCAAGAATTGTTAATTAAATCGAAATAATAACACGTATTTTGATTAAAAGCCAGCAATGAGGCATTCGAATTCATTTTTTCATCTTCTTCTTTTGAATTTGACTTTTTCTCATTGAACAATTCAAATTTATTTTTTGATTTTTTTTTTAATTAAATGATTTGCACAAAATACGTTTGGTTACGAATATACTCAATGCTAAAGTTTGAGATAAAAGCAATGAAGGAGCCGTGCTCAATTTAAAATAAATCCAATGATTCAATTTGAACTATGTGATTCTGCGTAAGCAAACAAAAAATGTGTTTGGTCCACAATTGATGAATTTGTCGCGTGCACGCGCACCCGACTACATATGTTGACTTCTGTTGCATTGATTTCGTACGGGACGCTGCAATTACAAACGATTGCTTAACTCAGACACCACGATCGTCTCTGATCTTTTATATTTATTTGATTTGTTGTTTGTTGCTTGGATAAAATGTTCTCTTTTTGCTGCTAACTTGAATTTTTTGGTTGCTATAAAACTAAGTACAGTTGCAGTTGGATCCTAATTGAGTTTGCATAGCAATTCAGTTAAAAGATAAATGTGCATTTGCACTCTCAAAATTCGATATTCATTTTCGAGACACACACACACAAACAAACAACAAGAAGATTCATCACTTATTTTTTTCAGACAGAGAAATTTTCTTTAAACAAACGAGACAGCAAAAAATTCGGACATTTTGAATGAAAATTCACACAATTACGTTATTCATAGATTTTCTTTTATATGTATATATTTTATACAGTACTCTTAATTAATTCATTATTATTTGCACTCCAATTCAAAATGATAGAAATATGTTTATAATTTGAAATAAATACTCAAACATTGCAGATTGATGGTGTTATTGTTGTTTTTCAGAGTGTTATCAATGTTCATCATTTTGTGTTCAATTAAGAAAGATACAAACTTGAAATTAATAAGTTTTATTTCGATTGACTGAATATAAATCTGCTGTGCGGCAATAACATAGATCGATTATTGAATCTAGTTGTTATCATTTTTAGTTGTTGCCTGCGACTAAAATGGAACACACACACGGATGTGATGTTCCTGTACAAAGTATAAACAACAGCTTTATTTATGCATGCGAACGACTGACTAGAGCACGTGTTTTGTTTTTTCCATCCAATTTTGTGTCTTGGTTTTTCTTTTAATTTGTCATTCCATTTATTACATTTTAATTTTCGTAATGAGTAGAGAAGCTTAATTACCGATAGTTATTTATACCGAGATTAAAAATTACACAATTCCGAAGAACCAAAAAGAAAAATGTTGTTGAAAGGTGGTGGAGACAACGGCGATTTATTTACTCCGCATTTATATTGTTGTTGTTGTTGTTTTACTTATAACAAAGTATAGAAAGTGGTTAAATATTATATTCTCTTTTTATTTGCTAATTTTGCTTGCAAGTTTTTTTTTTGTTTCCTCTCTTTTGTTTCAAATGGATTTTTCATTGTGAAAAAGACAGATATTTCTTTACATTGTGTGGTTTTAATTTGCTTTCATTTGTGTTTTTTTTTTGTTTTGAATTTGGTTTTGTGGATTTTCTGTTTTGTTGGTATGGGATGTTTATTTAGAGGGTTTTAAACATCAACAACCATCTTCTTATGGATATCAGTATTACCAACTACCGAACAAAATTCTTCAAACGATATTTTGCCATCTTCATCTTTATCAGCAAAAACAATAGTTTTATCGACGATTTGTTGAAGTTGCGTATCTTTCAGATTGTTGCCGACCATCATTTTCAGCACCTGTAACGAGAATGGGTATATGTTATCGTTTGATTTTCTTTTTATACACAAACAAAAATACAAATGACATTTCAAATGTTAAACCATGCCAAAATCACAAATTACATGACTTTTTGGCATTTTTTACACATCTTTTTTTTTATTTTATAAATGTACTTCGGTTGACCAATCACGTAAAAATTGGTTGCCATCAGGCATTTGCTGTTCATTTGTGCAAATAGACGAAAACGATAGTAGCATATATTTTTTTCGGTTCGTGTACCTGAAATAGTTCGCCGTTTGATATAAAACCGTCGTTGTCCATATCGTAGATACGAAATGCGAATCGAAGCTTGGACAATTTATCGCCTTTAACGCTAAACTGCGAGACGCCTTGTATAAATTCCTTGAAATCCACCTCACCATTGCCATCCGCATCAAAAATATCGATGACACGTTGCACCAATGGATTCTGCTGTAGTTCAGCAATCGACATAAACTCATCGACACTCAACGCTCCCGAATTATCCAAATCCAATTTACGGAAGCGTTTTCCCAGGCGTCGAATTTCATCTGCGTCGACTAAATGGAAGAAAGAAAAAAGTGTTTGTTAGAAAATGATAGACTTACAATCGAAATAATATATCTATCTATGTATATTACAATAGCGTTTTTATTCATTATTTTTATTTGTTTGGCTGGCTTTTATTAGAAAGAAGAGAAATCGTTTTGTATTATGCTAATTCCATTTTATGATAATGATTCTTTGAGTACCAATCCAATGACCATCGAAATCAATAAAATTCAATGGGGACTTTGGTTCAAGGACTCGCTTTTATACCCTTTAAGCAGTTTCAGGTATAGAAAAACCCAATTTCATATTGGACCATAAAACGAAACTGTTAAATTATCTGTAATTTTTATCACTTATTTGTATAATATTCAAAAGGCGTCATTTGATGTCGATTGTGCTTAAAATAGCTTCCAAAGCCGATTAAAAAAGACGATTATCCGGACTGAGTGAATGAAGTGCCTTTAAATGAATAAATAAAAAAACAACGCATCACAAAACAATTGTCAATTTATAATTGTGCTGTTGATTTAACCATTGCAATTTCGTTTATATTATTTTATTCGTCCTTTTTCGTATTTATTTCGAGATGTTCAGTTTTTTTTTCTTTTCATGTTAATCATTTTATAGAATAGAAGATGTCGATTGGTCGCCAGTGATCGTTTGCTTGATTACTTGAAGAATATGACTCAAAATATCGAATCTAAAACGAACTCATTCCAGTTGAAATGTCCATCTACATGGACATCACGTCAGTGAAAGAGACATACTATCCATTAGTTTAATTGAATAAATAGTCACATCGACACTCAAACAGTTATGTGTTGCACACACAATTCAATATTTTTTGATTGCAGTTCGGTATATGTTTTCAATGCCGGAAAAGTGATCGTTTGTTAGTGACCATGGTAATAAATTGGATGCAAGCACTTTGGTTGGATGAACTAGAAATTTATGGGCTACTAAATTTATTGGTTGATGATCGACGTAAATACATATATATAAAGTATACACTCACGCAAGAGCTAGAATCATCCTATATCGGCTCCATGTGTGTGTCGTGCTAACTTGATTACATTTATTTAATAAAATTGGATGAACTGGATGAGTTATTTTTATTAGCCGAGAGAGAGAGAGAAAAAAGCGATATAAAAACGCTCACACGTATAACTCAGTTCAATCCAAACCATTGAACGTGCTCATAATACTGACACTCAAAAAGGATAGCCCATAAACAATTTCGAATGAATTTTTTATATTAATTAAAAGACACAATTAATATTCGATTTTATTATGTGCATATGAGTTGCGAACTGTGAACTTTTTCCACACTTGGCATCGTTTGAAAGTGAATTGCGAATAGCGACATTTTATTTTGATACACATACACACAAACACTACCACATCTAGGCCTCTCCATAGCCATTTTTTTCTATCTTCCACTCTTTGTCTCTTTTTCGCTGAATAAACACGATTCCATACTGTATTTGATAATATTGCCTGCATTCAAATTATTCAACAATCATGAATATACAAAAGCGAAAACTGAATGGAAACGACACATGCAAACTTGAGAAATATTACAGCGACATCACATCACCTTAATGATATATTTAAACGTGATTTTCCTCTATATTAAATGAATGCGTTTTTTATTCGCTACTTTGTCTCTTTCCTGTTTCTGGATTTGGTACATAAAATATATATGGATGCTGGCGTGTTATATTTTCCATCATACATTCATAAGCAAATCACATCTCATGTTTATACATTTAACGTTGCACATCAATGGCATTGTTCATAAAATTATTATGAAATGGTATACTATTTTGAAGCTCATTCATTAATATGTGAATCTATTGGTCTATCTATTTGTGGTGGCCACAGTAAGTGGATGTTGCTTGTGCTGTTGATGCACACAACTGTTTTTTGTTTCTGTTGTTGTGCTTTTGTGTTTGTGAATGTGGTCAGTGCCAAGTGAATAAAATTCAACGAATGGGTAATGCAGTTTGTATGCTGGTTATGTGAAAATGGTAAAAGCTTTTGTTGTCAATGTTGAATTATGGCTTGGTTCGCTTCACTAGTTTCATTTTGAAAATGTTTCAAAATGAATTTTCATCAAGAATCACATTTTGAATCGAATGTTTTATGATGCCACCATAAACCTCATCACAACAATTGAATTTAATCGCAATAGGTATCCGTTTTCTGGTGCCATTCAAATAATGTCGGCGATACGTTATTGATGCATCACAACGAATCTTTTTGGTGCACACCAGACACCATACACAATTGAATATGCTATGATGTGAAACGACATGAAGGAATTCAACGTTTCGAAGCGAAAAGAAAAAAAACGTTCTGAAATTGTACGACCACCTAAATATTGAACAATATAGATTGCCAATAAACGACGAAAGCAATATGTACAATGCCACGTGGAGTGTATTTATTTCAAAACGTTTATGGCAAAAGTTTATAAGTCAAAATGGTAATACAGTCGTTGGCCTGGAAACTGTGCATATGTATAAAGTCCAATATGCGCACAATATGATGACAGTACGTTTCAAATATTCAATTGTTTGAATCGCAAATGTTTGAATGGCATGTGACGACGCTGATTTTGAGGATATCGCTTATAGGAAAAAGCTCAAATATTATTTTATTAGCGGATGATTAAATAAATGCATGCCGACATGGCTTTGAATCAAGTGCACTTTCTGATATCTGATTTTCATTTTTTTGTGCAATCATTTGTCCATTGATTTCAATTTGAAAACAATATAAATGTCAAAGCGGTTGATGCGATGAATCAAGTTTTGTATTTGCCAATGGCTTTTATACGTTGCATGGCAAAATATTTTCTATAGATCAAGATTCAATATTTCCAATCCATCTTCAATCAATCGGTTGAATTATTGCTCCATCGAGTTGTTCATTCATTCAATGCGCATTTTACGGCGGTAACATTGATTGTCTGCATACTTTGAATGCATTAAACATCAACTATTAAAATTTTGCGCACTTGAAATAACTTCGATCAGAAAGTTGCTGATGATGCTTTCACTTTCTTTTTGTGGCTTTGTTTGTGATTTACACTTTACACTTTTTATCTCTATCTCTGTTTATGACTCTTTCTGTCGCTCTGTCGCTGTCGGCGAGATTTTCGTGTAATCGAAGTAATTAATCGCATTTCACGGTAAATGATTGCTGAGAAATGAGTCTGACACCGAAATAGATGTGATGTGGCTGGTTTCACTTTTGTTAAGTGGGTGAATATGCTTGAAGGCCAGTCTTCGGCATCTTCGCTCTTTTGAAATGAGTCTTCAACGTTATTTTCATTTCGGTGTTCACTGAACTTAGCTTACCATGAATTTTTTCCAATTTGGTTGCGGTCTCGTATGGTATATTGGCAATCAATGGGAAATCTCAAGAGATATGTGAAATAAATCTCAGAAGAAAACCCAAAATTAGCCAGCTTTAATGCGATCAACTTATTTTATTGACACGATTTGCGCGTGATGAACAAACACAAACATCAATGAAGCCATCAACATTCGTGCTCTTTTTTTTGTTCTTCTGCATGCCCGAACATATGTGAGCATCAGTCGTTTTTCGATGATAATCATTTTCTTGATACTTTGATCGATAAAGCACTTTTATTGATTTGTTTACTCTGACAACGAAAATTGGTTTTCTCAGAACATTTTTATTTTTTACTTCTCCTCATTTTGTAAAACTGTTGTTGTCATACTTTTTTCTGTAACACTGCTATATTTGTAATTTGTTTGGTTTCCCACTTCCGCAATTCGAATCAATCGATTGCGGTTAACTTTACTTAATCCGTTGACTCTATCTATTTTTTTGTGTTCTACAAAAAGAAAACATGTTCCAACATTTATTTATTTTCATTATGTAATTTGGTTTTCGCATTTATGTTGGCATTTAGTATGGTTGTTGTCACCACTTGACATATAATTCAAATCGAATGGCCGCAGGTTCAATTGTCGATAAATTGGAAAATAAAAGTGTACATACGTTGTTATTCCAATTGAAAGCATGCTGCAATTTCTCTCTCTCTCTCTCTCTCTCTCTCTCTCTCCACTACATTTCGTACTCAGTGGCTGATAAATAAAAAGCATTTCAACCCTCTAGGATAGCAATATCAACATTTCACGATGTTTTTTGCCAATGAAATGCCAGAACACTTTTGTTTAATTTACAATTGATTCCTTGAGTTCTGAATCGTATCTGCATTGCATATTTTTTAATCAGTTTTCAAGTTTTACACGATTAAGTTCTCTTTTGATAAACACAGTCTAATTACCCAGCAACAACAACAGCAACAAATTGTAACTGTTCCATGTGTTTGGCCAAAAGTTTTGAATCTAAGCTCAAAATATCCATCGAAATTCCGTATTTGTTATGCAATCCAAATTTGGTCAAAAAATCGTTCCCGTACAGCTTTTGTTTGGTTTTTCCAATAAGTAACCTTAAAGTGGACGTGTACTTCCTTTTAAAATGTTAAGCTGTACATATAAAATGGTTGTTGTTTTTATGACGGCTGTGGTTCAAAGTCTATAGGAAGTCGTTCAAAAGTGAAACTGGAACGATGATTGAGCAAACGTATCAAACGTGTTATCATCTCGTCCGATGTTTGTTTATGACAATGGTGCGGCAATGGCGGCTACCCACATTGTCAAGAATAAAAATGCAGAATCTATAATAATTGACTTTGAAAAAACGGGAGAATAAACCAAGACGAAAGCATGGAAATATGGTTTGATTTAATTATTTCTTTTAGTTGGTGAACACTTCAGACTTTTCGTACAATGTATAATAATTCTTTTGTTGTTTCTTCAATGCTAAAATCTTCATAGTTCATTAAGTCATTGGTTCAATGTGCAATTCATTAAAATAAATAAAAAAATTGAAACCTTACATTTGGCCGTATTTGTTTCGTGGCAAATTTCATAGGTTACACAGCAGCCAAGCGCATGATTCTTTTTTT